CTTATTCTTATCTCTAAAACATTTCTGATGCTTATTGTTGAGTTGCCTTCAATGTTCTTCCAACGATACAGAATTAGGTTTAAGTAGAATTTTAAAATGACTATGGGTTGTTCATCCACCTTTTATTAAAAGTACTGCGATTCCTAAAGAGGCTACTGCTAAAGCAATGTGGCGATATGATCTAACACTTGCTAGTAAAGTATTATATAAAATGTTTTTCTGTACTACCTGGTCCATCTACAAAAAAGATTTCCTTTCTTCATTGTTAATTGCTCTTGTAATAGCATCAAATACTGTACATTAATCATTGTTTAACAAAGGTACGTTGCATTATAATTCAGCTTGTAAGTCTGTTATATTATAGGATCTCTCTTCACGTATTAGGTGATTTAATGCTTCTTCATTATTACTGATATTTGAAGTGATAGGGGAATTAGCATATTGAAAAAATCTTTTAGAGATTTTTCACTTAGTAAAAGAATTGAGTAAGAGCTTCATATTCAATTATAGCAAGAATATCACTTGTATCATCAAGATCTTGTAATTGCATATGAGCTTGATATAAAATATCCTCACACAATGCTACTTTATAATTATCCTATAACAATTTAGATTTCACTAGTTGGCAAAATAGAAGTATGGATGCAAAAAGCTGTCGAAGTTGATGTCCTGTTTGTACAACACTCACTTTAAACAAACAGGCATCCTATTCAGTATCATCCTGAAGAAGACCAAGATAAGAGCAAGCTTCTTTGAAGCTACCATATATATAACTATTGATAGTTTTTAGGTCATTGAAGCCAGTCGCACCTTTTACATAGGTAAGTAAAGTTCGTAGATAATATCTCTTGCCTCAGAAGGTTGTACTATATAAAGTTGCCCAATTATAGTTGTTGAAGTTCTTCTAGATATCCATTTACAATATGAAGAATTCCAAGTATAATAAGAAGAAAAGTTGACATAGGTATATATATGTGCTATCAGGTTCTCTATATTCTCTTGAAATCAAGCAGTTAAGATTGTCATACGATTTTGATTACAGTTGGTGACATTCTGAAGATTTTTTTTATCTTGAAATGTAACATATTGATATCTATCAAGATAGATAGCAAGCCTCTGTATTTTTGAATTACGGCCATGCAATTTATAATGAAAAATTCTCCAGATACATTCTGAAGCCAAAACATATTTTGCATCTAAGTACATTTTTATTTTATCAATCTGGGTAACTTCAGGTGAAAGTTGTTAATTATTAGCTTGGTTAGAATAGGCAAACGTAATGGTCGCTCAATCATGCCCTTTGTATATGTATTTATACAGATATTTAATAGCCATTATAGAACTGCAAATTTCAATATTAATATGAGTATTGTATTTTGTATATAATTTGATGTTATGCAGTACAACCTAACCAAATTTTATCTTTAACAAAACGTGCATTATTTCATCTGCAATAAATAGGGTATCCACTATTACTTTCCAAGATACGCTCTTGAAAAGTTTTAGGATAATGTTTTGTATATACACTATCTTTCATATATAGTGCGTTAGGGTTTAGTAAACCACACAGACCGTATATCATTATAGTTGTTACTGTCTTATAGACAAGAGGATATATATGAACATCAGAGATTTTAGCAGAGATGATAGAGTTATAATTTTCTATTGTTCGTAATTTGTCATCTGAGGCAAGAATTAATAGAATATGCATATAGGAAAGACCACGTTTTTGGAATTCTACTATGTATATATATACAATAACTTTACCAAGCCAATTGCTATCGCATCTTGATATAACTGATACATGTGATGCGGTCCGCTTGTAAAAGATGATGAAAGGATTATACGATGATTAACAGTATTACTACAATCTCCAGCATATACTGTATCGATAATACTTTGATAAAATTCAGTATGAAGTGATTTTTGATTATGCTTAAGGTAAATTAAATGATTTTGTTCTATTTTAGCATATTGATCAACAATATACTGTTGATATAATCTGCCAGCATGTTGTATCCAGTCACTATCTCTAATCTGCAATCTATAGAAGTAAAATTGTATAGTTGTTACTCATTTTCTTTTTAAAGCACCTATGAATAGTATATCTGTGTGCTACCCATCATCACCTTTAGGGAATAATAATACGTAGTGGAGCAGGTCATATAAAGGATGAACCTCTGATATTTTTTGCAAATTTCCATCACGTTCTCTGAGAAAAATATTCCAACTCGTCAAATTTACCTCATGACCATCACCTACCATTATTGTAGCTACTTCAGAAACAGTTGGAGTGTTATAATGACGAATGTCTCAATTTCTATCACTATGAATTATCATTGAACTTTTAGCGGTTATATTGTCTTGTATAAGATCTCTCATATAACGAAAGTTTTGAATATACAGGTTGCAAGTATCTAGCATATTCTGTAAATTTTGTAGAATACTTTCATTTAGGTCCTACATTATATTATGACAGTTTGTAATTTTATGTGCAGTATCATAAATATATAGTTGAGCAAATGTTGATATGCGACCTTCATCTAGTAATAATGATCTGATTAGATGATAGACTTGGCCATGAATCCGAAAATTCGCTATACCATATTCCAAAAATTGGTGATCTATGTTAGCACCAAAAGATGTGCAGGCTAAAGCACTATTATAAGCTCTAATGTATTTACGAAAACCAACTACATCAGGATTAGTTGAAGTATAAAGATATAGTAGATAGGGTGGAAGTTCAAATAAAGGTGGTAATTGTATTTTGCTATTGGTACAGAAAAGAGGAAATCTTGGTGTAGCGTATTCACTATTTTGATCTTTTTCTATTATCTAAAATTTAGCTTTACAATATCGACAGGTCTTGTCCATTCTACCCATATCATGATGTATAGTTTTACCATGGTGAGGTTTCAGATTACTTTGGGTATTAGTTAACTCAAGATCAGTACCAATTGTAGAAGGTTCAATTAAAACTATAGGGACTTCAGTAGTAAATATAGGTGAGAGGTTATTAGAATCAAAATCAGTATCAATAGCAGGAGTTTCAACGACAACTATAGAGACTTCGGTGTTAAGTAAGTGTTGAAGTTCCTCAGAAATATTAATGTATAAATATGAGATAGTTTCCTTATTCTTATCTCTAAAACATTTCTGATGCTTATTGTTGAGTTGCCTTCAATGTTCTTCCAACGATACAGAATTAGAATTAGTATTAATAGCAGGAGGTTCAACTACAACTGCAGGGATTTTGGTATTAAGTAAGTGTTGAAAATCTTTGGAAATATCAATAAATAGGTGTAAGATAGTTTCCTTATTCTTATCTCTAAAATGTTTCTGGTATTCACAGTTGAGTTGCTTTCAATATTCTTCTGATGATGCAGAGCTACCAGAAGGTGTTGTTATTATCTAAAGAACGAAAGGTTACATGTGAAGAGATAAGAATATTGAAAGTTTTAAAGGATAAATTCAAATTAATATACTAATAGAATTTGAAAATTTGATGTAATAACACATATAATTACTAAATGATAAATGAATTATTAGTTAATTCAAAGTGAAATTTTAAGCAAAGTCAAAAGTCTTAGTTTAAATAGGTTTTGTTCATATAATCATTATTAGGTCACAAAGTAATAAAAATAATACGATTATATTTAAATTATAGAAATGAAAAATAATGAATTTATGTATTACCAGTAGGCTTTGATTATAACACAATTTATGTAGAGTAGGGTTTAAAGCAAAGATAATATCATAATTTAGCATTATATATAGGGCAGAGCTTAAGATTAATACAATAATAATAATCAGAATATTATAGAATTTGTAAAAAACAATTATATTATACTAAGTACGCTCTCTCAGTAGGCTTTGAATATAATTATCTAATATAGTTAAAAGTTTAGATGTGTGAAAGAGAAATTAGATAATTTTTTAATATGGGTGAGCAAAGAGAAGATTGTAATAGGCTATTGTAATACAATATTACATCATTAATGATAATTTTAGATACGTAACTATCTCGGTTGTAAAGTTCATATTATTTGATAAATATACAATATAAAAAGAATGCTTTATTAAAATTTTAAAAATTAAGTAAATAAAGGACAATTTTAACTTGCGCCGCTGATTAATTATAACCATATGGTTAATTATAACCACTGGTTATAATTAACCATATGGTTAATTATAACCAGTGGTTATAAT